TTGATCAATGATTCCAGAAAGAGGAGTGGAAAGAACCGAGAACCCAAGGACACCCCCCCACCCCGCTCCCGACTCAACTTCAAACCCCAGGTGAAGCTTTAGTTTCCTGTGGCAGGACATCCTGCTCATGTAGAACTTAAGACAATTGATATCCTTTCAAATAATAAGGCAGGTTACTTCATGTAGAGCTTCTGATCTCTCCTGTCCAGCACAGGAATTGGCAGACACATGCACATTCTGGGAAAAGTTAAAGGAAATCACAAGAGTCATGTATGAGTCATCCAGCCCTTTCCCTCAGCCATCAATTCCTATCCGCTGTGTTAGCCCTTACAACATCTAGCTTCATAGCCAACCATACCAGTGGGAGGCAGTCAGACTCGAGGAAGCCACAGGAGACTGCACTGGACCTTCAGCTCAAGATTTCTCAGGAGTTTCACACCGCAGTGACCACCTCCCTAGCCCCACTCAACGAAGTCTCCCAGCTCACTTCCCCAGGCCCATCCTTTCCCTCACTCCCCACCTTGTACCCTAGTCAGGGTCTTCAAAGGCCGATGAAATCCACTTGCCTGGATCGATTTGGCAAACACATCCCCTTCCTGCCAAGCTGGGCTCTTTTCTGACCATGAAGGGGAGCTCTCCCACTGGTTGAGGGGCTCGGCTCTGACTATTCCCCTCACTGAGAATGACTTCCAATGTATGTAAAGTCCACCCACCCGGAAGGTTCTGTTCCAACTGTAGCTCTTCCATGAGGCTCCCAGCTCTCACGGCTTCCTCTCCTCTGAACAACTCCAGTATGAGGGTGAGTCAAAAAGTATGGCCACAAATTCAGACACCTATATTCAACAAAGCTATCAAAATGTGAAACTAGGGTTTCTCAACCTCTGAAGGTGATGTTTTCATCTCGCCAACCCTCCCCTGAAGAATTGTGGGCTCTTCAAGGGGCACCACGTCAGGCCGGCAGTTTGGGCATCCTCCGGGGACACAAATCACGTTCCCTCAATGTCTGAGTGTAGGGAACAAAATTAAGTCTGAAGGGTAAAGATCAGGCCTATACAGTGACTTAGGTAAGACTGCCCAATGAAATCCTTGTAGGACAGCTCTTGTCACCCTTCAAGACACAGCAGGTGCATTGTCATTAGGCGGGGGTGGGGGTGGGTGGGAGGTGGGAAGGAAGTCCTGGCCTTTCTCTTTCTCATCAGTGTTGCATTCTATTATCTTAAAATGTCTTTATAAGCCCCTGTGATTGCCCTGTGTTGTGTCTTCTGAGAAAATCCATCTATCAAGATGACCTCTTGGGGGTTCCCCCAGTCACCATAACCTTCTGAGCTGACCTCTTGGCATTGAATTGAATTGACCCAGAAGATGATCCCCTCAGAAGCCACTGTTTGGATTGGATTTTTTTTTGGGGGGGGGGAGCACCCTAAGGAGACTCACTCACTCACTGCCATCAAGTCGATGCCGACGTATAGCGACTCTAAAGGACAAGGTTGAACTGGCCCCTGCAGTCTGTCTTTCTCCCGAAGAGCAGCAGACTGGTGGTTTCAGACTGCTGGCCTTGCAGATCATAGCCTAATGCGTAACAACTATGCCACCAGAGCTCCTGTGCTAACGAGAGCAAGGCAATTATTGAGAGAACTCATCTGCAGCCGACCACTAAGCACAGAGACATGGTCAAAGGTGCTTTGGAATAAAGTCCTGCATGTAAAAACTAGAGCCCAGTAGCAATATTTTTTACTTACTTGTACTTAATGTTTGGACTACACAGGGCAGTACTTATGAAGCAACTCTGCAATTGATGAACATTCGCTTCTTTAAAAATATCCTACCTAAACATACTTTCCAGGATCCCACTCAGTCCTATCCTGGGAGATCGCCCTCCCTCCCCCAGGCAATGAATATAGCAGGTAGGGGCATGGCTTCTATGTTGGGAGCCATATCCGACCACTTGACCAGCTCTGCGACTCTAGTAGACAAGGGTCTTAGCCTCCCGGTGACTCAGGTTCCTCCTACTACATAGGCTGCCTGGAAGATGAAATGAAATAGTACCAGTAAAGCACTTCGAACACTGCCCAGCCCAGAGTAAACACTATAGAAATGCTATTTGCTATCAAAATATACCACAGCTTGGGCTATTGAGCAGAGTTGACTAAATAAACTAAGCTGGTAGTCGAATTATGTTTATCAACACTCCTACAAGATTACAGTTGGAAGAGACCTTAAGAAGCCTGGAATTCAACCTCGTGGCAAGATGAGAAAAGTGTGGCGCTGGGAGGGGAAATGACTAGCCCAGAATCCTACTGCCGGGAAATGCCTGAATCATTCTAACTCAAGTCTCCTCATACAAGTCTAACAAAATTTCCGATGGGGAGGTGGGGTGAGGGGTGGGGACAATTTCTGGATTCTATGTTACCAAGCTACCATCAAACTGCTAAGACAAAACTGATGGAGTTGGCAGTTACTAGTGTTTTCTACAAGGCCAACTGTTGTTTCAGGTGTGTGTAGGAGGAGGAAGGCTTATGGGAGGGAGGCTGCTGGAGTGGCACTGTGAAGATCCTGGAAAACAGTAGTAGGCAGTTCTACTCTGTCCTATAGGGCCACTCCCACCAAACCAAACTCGCTGCCACTGAGCCAAATCAGACTCAGAGGGATCTGATAAGACAGAATAGAACTGGCCCTGTATGTTTTTTATATCAGCTCCTCTTTTTTCCCTCCCTCCCTCACCCTTCCATCTTGGAGAACCCCTGGATAAATTCTAAATTATGATTATTTTCATATCTTACACGTCCTATGTCTCCCTTCACCCACATTTCTATTGGTTGTCCTGGGGGGAGGTGTTATACGTTGATCGTTGCATATCCCCCTTCTCCCCTACTTTCCCCTACCCTCACGGTATCGCTCTTTACCCTCATGGTATCACTCATGGCAGAGGCTCCTCTTTTTTTCTCAAGGAGAAGCTGGTAGCTTCAAACCGTTGCCTTTGGGGTTAGCAGTTTAATTCGTAACCACTATACCAGCAGAAGTCAGCATTGACTGGACAGCACTTAACAACAGCAAATCCCTGGGTGTGGCAAACAGTTAAGGGCTTGGAGGAAAGGCTGATGGTTCGAACCTACCTACAAGCGCCTTAGAAGATACACCTGGTGAGGTTTCAGAAAAGTCACAGGCCTGCTCCATATGAAGCAGTTCAACTCGGCACACACAGAGTCACCATGAGCTGTAATCCACAATGGACGGTCAGCAACTGCCAGCAGCCGTTTCCCCATGTGGTTATGGGGATTAGAGCTTCTCAAGGGAACCAACCAGAAGCACCTCGCAGAACAGGATACTGTATTTTCTAAACGTCTAAATGAATCCTCTGGACCCTGGCTCAGAACAAAACAAGGCAAACACCTGGGGTATGATTGCCTAGCTCTGGGGGCATCATGGGTTCCTAATTGGGCTAACCAGGTCAGCACTTCAAACCCACTAGTGGCCCTGCAAGGAAAAGATGAGGCAGTCTGCTCTCATAAAAATGTACAGCCTGAGAAACCCACAGGGCCAGTTGTATTCTGTCTTACAGGCCACTATGAGTCAGAATTGACTCAATGTAGGGAATTTGGTTATCAAACCCCAACCCTCCCTCTGATCTCACCTTTTCTGAGAGGTCTTCCCACCCTATGCTATTTGAAACGGCAAACCTCTAATCTGCTTTAAATTCCTGGTGTTACTAAGCAGCCCCCTTGCACACCTGATCCTTTACTCTCCCTCCTTTCTCGAAGGACACCACACTCACTACCATGGAGTCATGAGCCTCATCCTTCTCCTGCTGACTCTGAAAATAGTATATAAATTCTTCCAGGGCAGAGATTGATCTGTTTTGTACACTGCTGTATCCTCATTCATTTTCTTTCTTTCTCTCTCTCTCTCTCTGCTGTATCCTCATTCATTTTCTCTCTCTCTCTCTCTCTCTCTCTCTCTCT